AAGGTACTATTTTGGGCTCTGATTTGATGAGGGCACATGGGTGTATTGTAGATCTCTGTAATTGGGTGCTGTGGAAAGGGTCTAGGTACAAAGGCAAGGTACACATGATTATGGACAGTTGTGAAATTGCATCAGTTAAGACCGATGACGTCCTTGATCCACGGGCATTATTACAAACAGGTGACCAGCTACTGGCTGAAATTTTGTGGCAACATGACAAAGTGTGGGCAACATCTAAGGCTCAATGCGGCAAAGTATCAAACATGATTGTTAAAATTGAGGGACCAGATCCCCCACATCAAAAGCAATATAAAATTCCACCCGAGTCGATCCCATACATAGAACGTACAGTGGAAAATGTATTGGCCCAAAACGTCATTAAAGAATGCCAGTCAAAAACAAACGCAGCCCTCTGGCCAGTAAAAAAGGAGGGGGGCTGGAGGCCCACTTTAGCTTTTCGTGCGCTGAACAAATGTACCCCATCAATTACAAATGTAGTCGCTAAGATGCCAGATATGATGACAGCGCTTAAGCCCTCTGCTAAAGTTTATTCATCGATCGATATATCAAATGGCTATTTTTCAATTCCCATACATGAGGATAGCCAATACAAATTTGCCTTCACATTTCAGGGAAAACAGTACACATTTTGCAGGTTGCCACAGGGGTTCAAATCCAGTTCGACATACTTCAATACTTCGACATTCTGAAGCCGTTTTCGGAACCAGACTGTATCATTCAGTATGTGGACGATGTTCTTTTGCAAACTGAAACGGAAGAACAGCACTATGCCCTGTTGAATGAGCTCCGGACACTGATTAGAAATGTGGGCCTTAAGCTGAACCCGAAAAAGGCTCAGTTAATGAAGGATTCAGTGTTTTTTTGGGTGTGATAGTTTCACAGGGGGGGAGGACTCCTGACCCGAACAAATGTGAAACTATCAGGAAGTTATCAAGGCCAAGTACTAAGACTAGGGATGCACCTATACCGATACAAGCATCGGTATCGGCAGCGATACCGAGTATTTGCATGGGTAATTTCTGCTCTTGTTCTTTTTTTACAGAGTCCTATTGGAGCGAGAGATTGGCAAGTCAAGGTCTCTGGAACATGAATGGAAAGATGATAAACATCTTGTTGGCCATCTATCTGGGCCACACCACCTGGCAAATTTATGCGGACGATTATTCGGGGGACTATGTGAAAGGGAGGATACTTCTATTTGTGTTATGGATGGGGAGATCATTGAAAGGACTAAGGCACCGGTGTATTATTTAGGACATAGAAGAGTGTGCTTCTTTATCCTAAAGGATACCAATATCACCTTGAGTATGAAACAGGGGTGTTCCTAGACTTGGTGGTAGAGAGAGGTGCGTGGTGTACCCTAGGCAATGTCTCCGAGATCCAGACGCAAACATGGAATTATGTAATGCCATCGGTAACCCATCTGTCCGAAGAGATCAAGTATAACAGTCCTGTTAGCCTGGGGGCCCTGGATCTGGGCATGGGAAGAAAACTGCAGGATTGGTTGACAGACTGGGATAAAGATGAAAACCTGCTGAGGAAGCTACAGCAAGAAGGGGCTAATGCTACTATAGTCATATACCATGATCAGAACAAAATAAGGCAAGTGGAGCATCTACTGGAAAAGGATGCTAGCGGTTATTGGTGGGAAACTTTATTTGGTTATTCCAGTAAGGCCAAGGGGGTTTTTAATTATTTAATCCATCCGGTTGTGGTATTACTCATTCTTGCTGTGGTTTTATCACTGGTACAAGTGTATATGTGTTGTTGGACCAGAAATTTATACAAAAGGATTTCGAATGTGGATAGTAGAGTTGGAGGACAGATTGACAGTAAGGTCTTGGAGGCTTTACTGCCAATCAGGTGTCCAGAACAGCCCAGAGTATGCCAAAATTGTGGCAGGGCAGGCCATGATGAGCGGGCTTGCATGATCCCAAGCCGTGCTTAACAAAATGGGATATAGGGGATGGAG